AATACGCGAATAAAAGTTACTCGGAGTTTGACTCCACGTTCGAGCAACGATTTCGTGATTGATTAAAATGAAAACGATCGACAAAGCGAGCCGGAAGCGAAATTCCGTGAGTAACGCTCGCCAGCGGCGCGATTAAAAATAAACGCCGCGGGACAATTGAATTCTGTTCGATTATCAGGAGCGGCGTAGTTAATAGAATTGCCACAAGATTAAAGTATCTCTTGCTATGCGGCAGACTAATGAAAAATCAGTTCGTTATCGAATATTGCGATACGGAGGATTATCGAGCGGCAGAGAAAAGTTCCAATAATTAAATTAACGTGGCTTTACCTCAACGTGCTCGTAATTCGATCGAATTCCGAACGATTGCGGTTGTGACAATTTATTTTCAATATCAAACCGAGGCTAGATTCAAACTTTTCATACAATGAAAAGTAAACGAATGGAATATGTAATTTCGTTTTATCTATAATACAGAATTCGCAAGTACTTTTCAAACTGAAACGAAACATTCAAGTGTTATTGAACTGCCGATACTTCTTTCAAATTCCATAGCATCATTATATTACAAAATTAATTTTCATACTGTCTGGGACATTTCACGAGCTGAACTTTGTTTTTTTTTTATATTAATTAAAATTCACTACCGTAAAAACCATTGATGATTTCCGAAGAATGATAAGTATAAAAATACGCAATTATGAAAACTATTGTTATAAAATAATCATTTTGAAGAAAGTTGGACTAGTAATAAAATGTCTACAAGGTATTCATTGATCCAACACTTACCTCTATGACTTCCGGTGATTTTGTCCCGCAGGATATTTATCTGATGTACTCGACCGAATTCCTCGAACAGCGTCCTTAAATCATTTTCGTCCATGTCGTGCGGAACCTGACCCACGAACATTTTTATATTGTCAGGATCTGGCTGCTCGACACTGTTGTTGTTCATTATACTGCAAGGAACAAAATTATTTTTATAAAATTTCTGTTTTGCTCGTATGTTATTAGTTGAAGCTAATAATAAAAATTAAACTTATTATAAATAAATTTACTCAAAGGTATAAACATGTGATTAACACTTGAACATTAGTGCTTGAGTTTATTTTACTGTATATTTTTAGATTTCAACTAACTACGTATTTTCTTAAAATAAAGTTTTCTCTTCTTTAAAGATACCAAGTAATTATATTAGATTTGACAAGGAAATCAACACATCTCTTAGTATTAAATTAAAAATAAGCATAATACTATAACTAATAAATAATAGTAAGTAAAAACTTGAATGATCACAAGCATTGTCTATGAAATCACTTTGTCTACCTTTTTGTTAACAAGCAACCACTTGTAGAGTGTTTAAACCCAGTGTTCATGCACTGTTCACATCACTGTTAATAAATAGATATGTGTATTGACTATAACTGCTGAACTTATTTATGTTACAACCCAAAAATTAATGATATTATAAAACATTCATCTAGTTGTCATCGACGTCTAGACGCTTACATAAGGTGTGCACAAAAGACTGACAAGCATAGTTGAATCGTTGCACAATGGTAATATTCCATCGGTTTCATAGTAAACAAACTATTTTAGTCGGCTGACAGTGGCGTACCAGATTTATTGCATATGGCTGTCCAACGGCATACTTCATTCTGTTTGTTTCACTATTAACAGATCATATTTTACTCATGTGGCTAGAAACTGTGTTGCCAGGGAGTAGTCCTCGTTTTATTTTGTCAAATCAGTTCACTCGGTAGATGTATTCGACTAGAGGATATTTTCTTTCTTATCTAATCTAGCACAGGCCATAGTTCTTCAACCAGACGAAGATCATAATTTGCATATCTAACTGCTGAACATCTCAGTGTACACTTATAAATAACAACGATTTATGTTCTAGTAGAGAGATGTAATCAGTAAGGAACAACTTTCTACTTTTCTGACAGATGAGCCTCATTCTACTTGTTTTTAGATCTATAATTTCTTTTGCATTTGTATGATTGAGGTCAGATTAGTTTTTACTTTAAAGGTATGCTCCATTTTCTGTTATATAATTTGTAATATATTTGTGATATAATAGAATATAAGTTGAATAATAACTTATACAATAAGTTATTTTCTATATATTTTTATGTATGTACAATTCTATAAGTTGTATATATATGTAATCAGTTATTATATTATTATGCAATATATTATTACATCATCATACATAGTCATTGTATTTTATATTGCTTCATATTCACAACCTTATACGTGTCTGACCATGCGTAGCTGTTACTACTTTAGATACAATTAGGAACCACAAATAAAATTCACTGAAAGAATATCAAGTTTCATCGTATTAAGCATTGGTCGTAATAATTATAATTTAATTATTAATTCAATTCAATTATTTAACAATTACTAAATAATAATATGACAGGAATACGTATTACGACCATTTATGTTTAATACGAATTATGATAATAAGTATAGTGTAGATTGATGATGCTGAATACATAAATGTTAATTTGTAACATGTTTCGGATCGACATATATTTCACAAGCAGGAACCGTAATCGCTTTTCATCCGACCTGAAATATTAACGGGATCCATTTATATTCTAATATTTCGCGGTTCTCAGGAAAAGTGCACGTTAATGCAGATGAAAGATTGGATTCGTTTATTCTACTAATTTCTGTTAAATGCTTCCCGTCTTTCCACAAATCGGAAACATTATTTTACAAATAAAATCTCTCCCTCTCGTAATTACCCACTCCATAGTTCTTTCGTACTACACGTGCGTGAGCGTGCTCTCGAAAACATGATACTCATAAAGTCGTCGGCTTAATAAACATTTTCATTTGGCAAAGTACACTTGAAATCGATCTCCACCATATTCGGTTCAAAAGCTTACAGGCGGCCGCATACGGAACTTCATTGCAGCAGCGATAAAAATGTTTAAGCGTTTGCATTCGTGCGTATCAACCGAGAAATAGAGGAGGTGACGATGTTACACGATTCGCGCCAAGTTTCAAGATCTTTTCACTCGATTCGGCGAATTGTATCGATTTCGAATTCCGTTATTATTAATTCCTTCTATTAGTTTTAATAAAATTAGTTATTTTCCGTTACTGTCTGATAATTTCATGTGACATTTAATATTTACTTTTGTCATTTCTAAATTAACTTAAAAATCAATTTCTAATTATTATTCGAATGCATTGAAGATATTTGCGAATTTTTAAGTATGAAAATTTATTAATTTTACATTAGACAAGATTGTATTCATAAATTCTTAAATATTTGTAGTTTACAAATGTAATGAACACAAGATAGGGTAAAAACAAAATTGTTTTACTTCGTTACATATTCATTTTACCAAATCTATTAATAAGTGATACAATATTTCAGAAAATTTCATTTTTTTTTTGTTTATTAATTAAAATATAGATTCGCGAAAAAACTCGCCGACTAATAGTAACTTCCTATTAATCGAGCTATGCTATTAATATTCCTCCAAACGAATCCTTCTTTTCGGTCGCGACTAAATCGACTTCACCCTCTAAGTTACGTCAGCAGATATATTTGGCCACTTCAGTCGAGGGTCACCCCCGAATTTTAAACATGGTGGCCACATTCCGGAATATGTTAGCTTGCGTCAGTCGCCAAAAGACTGAGCTACGTTTAATTAAGCTTGTGCACGTGTTTAATCGGAGTGGGGGATTTCTCATATGTATTTTATATATAGATATGTACATATACATGTACATATTTATATATAAAGGGTGACTCGTAAAAACATATTCATACTTTAATTAGTACATAAAAAAGTTTTATGAATTTCTGTCCTACGTATTTTATTATAAATTTTCGAGTTATAAGTTTAAAAAAAATATTCGAAATTAACAACTTATTTACCACTCATAATCAAGCCAAACATTTACTGACTATATTTATAATTTTCACCATAGCGTGTTAGTGTATGTTTCTACTTTTAAAGCTCTACAACTTTAAAATCAAAATACAAGGGAATCTCGTTATATAGTTCCGATTTATTTTGTTTTAAACCAACGTCATTTTATAGGTTATCTTCCGTTAAGCATTCGCAATCGGATAGCCGATTAATAAACATTCGGTAGATAAAGTGTTAATATCGAGTCCCTTAAAAATACCAGATATTCCACAAATAAATACAAATTTCGATAAATTCAAATTGATAAATATTATTAATAAACATTAATGAATTAATAAACATTAAACTTGTCGTAAACGTACTATACTATATGATAACGTGTGCATACATAAAAGACGAAATATCAAAGATCTTGTTTAATTATTTACAACTCGATAATGAAAGAGTATAGGGCATATTCACTTGACATGTTTTACTTACTTTATGCGTAGGTTCGCTTAAAGCCTGGACATGCATTTATGAGTCACCCTGTATGCACATATATTCAGACGCTTTTAAAACTTCTGGGGTACTATTGCCGACGGTTGGTATCCTCGATCGGATTACACGCATTTGGAACCGTCCTTGTCGATGTACGGTTCAGGGGAACTGCCCTCAATCTCATCCAAACGGATTATCTTGTGTGTTTCATAATTTTCTAACCGCCGTATCATCTGAACCGTTTCATCCGCGTGTACAAATATCCACGTGGACGATCTTCTGGTGACTATCATTTTGACGACAGATTTACGTATCTAAATATAAATTGTGCATTTTGGTTTATCGCTTTTATCAATGTTTTCATCTTATTTATTTATTGCAGTTATTGATTATTAATAACGGTAACATATTTCAGAAATAAATTTAGTAATTTACTTTTAATATTTATTCGTCATTACTCGTGAGATAATAATAAAATTTTGCAGCGGTTTTTGAAGAGTTTTTAATTAGGTAATAGGAAAATGGAGATAATAAAATTATATAATTTATGTTAAAAAATGATTGTAATTAATGTAATATAAGAAAATATTAGAATATTGAGAAATGTTATGTTTTATTGAGATTCGAGTTTGCGTTAAAACATTAACTGTCACGTCGTTAACTAAACATGAAACGAGTTCTCTAACACTGTTTTCCCAAAGTGAGGTGTATTCAGCAACATAACAGGTGTGGTCTAACTTTAATTGTTAATAATCCGAAAACTAGTGTTTACTGACTTTATAGGCTCCAAAACGGTGGTACCGAGAAACCTTAGAAACCTTTGACAAGTTATGTGAAACTTACATTTATACTCAAATTCACTTATATTTCTTGCTGTTAAGCTTAGTTTAAGTTAGATTATGATTGGACTAATATTTCTGAAAAAGATTACAACTTCTGACTAAAAACAATCAAGGAGCATGAAATAAATTAACGATCAAATCGTTACAATTAATTCAAGCTTCCAAAATAGCGTTTCAAATCATACTCCTCATAGAATAATAATTTTCCATACGACATCTGTTGAATACCAAACTACAAGCGTTCCCATTTATGAAACTCTGGAATTCAAGCGATCGACTTATGGACACGAACGCTCCGCCGCGTAAAAACGATCATTCCATGAAAAGGAGTATTTTGCAACTGTATTGAAACGAGAAATAAACGAAAGAGGAGCATCAGGCGTCTGACAAATTGTTAATAAAGCGTATCGATCGGCCGGTAGTGGCGGCGAGTACCAGGGTCGGTGATAAACCGCGAAAAACATAAAATTAGTGACGCTTCGATGTCGCGGTATTGCGGCTATTACACCGGACGATGGCAGATAATGGGCGCAAGTATGAAACAAAATTATCAACGCGGCGGTTGCCGTTCCAACTTTATCTCATTAATTATTATGCACTTTACGTTGCGCCCACGGTTGCTCATGCCGAACAACTTTTCCCTTTACCGTTGCGGCACCGACGACGACGACGACTTTTAAAGTTCGGAGATTTATAGTTGGGCCCGGCCAGCGGGACAAGAAAGTCTGACCG